ATCATCTGCAGGCTGGAAATAATTTAGCATTTTAAAATAGTGCAAGAAAAAACAGCAGTGAGCACTTATTGCAGAACTGCCAAAACGTGTTGAAATGGTGGCCATTTGCAGGAAAGACAGCAAGATTGATAAAGTTAGGATTTGTGAGCAAGAAAACATGTGTACTTAAATCAAACAGCAATAAAGTCAGTCCTGGACAATGTCATTAAAGGATGTTTGTCATGGGTGTAGCAGAAGTTAGATAAGTTAGTCCTTCAATATTGAATAGAAATGGATGTGACAAAAATAGCATTGCTGAGAAACAGCAGGGGGAGAGAGAACAAGCTAAACCAAACCCTTCATTCTAATGATGACTGCATAGGCTCACTCAACATACAAAGCTGAGTGTCAGTGGGAAGTGATCAGCCAGTGGGGAACTGAACAGATTTCTGTGTTTACAATTTTTGTGACTTATAATATCCTGGAAGAGGATGTGGCTTGTTGAAAGATCTTGGAGGGAAGCAGATAAAATAACTGTGTACTAGTGAACCTACTTGTCTCTCCAAATGATAAATGTTACTGGGGGGAAAGCTTGTACTGAAGGCAATCTTGCCATTTGCTTTGCTTTTAATGCATGCCAGAGAACTAATATTAGATACATGCTTAGCCAGATCCAGTACAGAGCTCCTGTTATATATTTTGGAAGTAGAATGCATTACTTACAATGTCTTTTATATAATGCTTGATTTAGGTGAAACTCTTTTTTACCCAGATATTTTTCCCCTTACCAGGTTAACTTCGGCATCTAATACCTCAATGGTTTCTTTCTCCTCCGCCATCTCTCAAAATCTAAATAAACATTCCCTTTCTACTCTGCAGCCCCTCTGCTATCAAGATCATCACATTGCATTTATAGCCTGACTTTTTTTCCTCTTGCAAGGAGCCCAATGTGGCTTAAATGGCTTGATGTTCAGGTTCACAACAACAACCCTGTGAGGTAGGCTAGGCTGAAAGTGAGTGACTGGCCCAAAGCCACTTAGTTGAGCTTCATGGCCGAGTGGGGACTAGAACCTGGATCTCCCAAGCCTCCAGTCCAGCACTATAATCACCACAACACAGTGACGTTCCAGTGTGGAAATAGATTTTCTCCCTTTCTAATAATAAGCAAAACTCAGATTTTCATGGATGAGCTTCAGATCAGCTGTTATTGTTCCTGCAATCCCCATCACCACTGACCTTTACAAAATTCTCATAATCTTTCTTTTCAGTTACTTAGATTGTGGCTTCTCAGTATGGATAATAATCCCTTCTGTCCCCAATCAGTCTGATCAGATTTTAGGTTTAAACTCTGAAGAACTAACCCAGGGTTATTTTATTCAGGCATTTTGCAGCACTGCATGGATTTGAGGCAAAGAAAGAGGAATTCTCTCAGGAAAGATTGTTTGTTTATATTTGCAGTGTGCTGACCAAGTTCTACCAACACATCTTGTCCTTGGTTTTTGCTGTAAGAGAGATCAATGAGAATCCCAAGATCCTCCAGAATGTCACCCTTGGATTCCACATCTATGACAGCTACAACCAGCCCCACATGACCTATAATGCCATCCTGGATCTTCTCTTCAAATCCCATAGATTAGTCCCCAACTATGAATGTGATACCCACAGAAAAATCTTTGCTGTCATCGGGGCACTTGACTTTGATACCTCACTCCGCATGGCAAATATTTTAAATCCCTACAAGATTCCACAGGTAGGAGAAGTTCTGGGTTACCTTCCTTGACCTTGGGTCTTATGCTATATTTTACTTGCAAGTACAAGTACTCATACACAGATTCTAAATGTTATATACAAAGAGTCCGGAGAAACAGTTTTTTGTGATGTTAAAGGGACAACACAAGATGACAAAACAGGAATGGGGGAAGGAATAAAAGCCGAGTAGTTTCCTTTCCCAGATTTCCTTCTAACTAAATTGTATCCTTATATTGCCATTTTTTAGGACTGTGCAAATCGGAAAAACTCAAGCACATTGTGAAATCAAACTACACTTGAAACATGTTTGTGTGTGTGTTAAAATAATACAATCTCCCTCCCTCCCTCCTTTCCCTTGAATATATATATATATATATTTCCAAATCACAAGTATGGCAATGTACCATCTCTTGCCTCAGTCTGAATTTGAATTTAAAATAATTTGCAATGAAACACTACTGAAACTAATTTCTCTTACAAACCTTGATACCAGATGAAACTCACATTCAAATCAGGGTTTGTCTTAGCAATTATCCCTTGTTTTAATTACACAGACATGGACTGGCACTTCACTTGACACATCTCTACAATCATGACTTCTTCTTATTATTATTATTACTACTAATACTACTACTTTTAATTATCCTTCCTATTCCCAGAGAAGGAAGGATTCTGTGTCCTATAGCAGTGTAGTTGTGACAGCTTGATGGGTAAAAGAAAAGATTCTGAAGGACAATATTCCTCCCATCACTCAGAGCCCACTCCTTTGTCAACACTACCTTTGCAGGTCTCAACAGGAGACCAAAATTCCATCTGTTTTCCCTCATATAAACTCAGTTAACCCTTGTGATCCTATGTGGGGGCAGAACAAAAAAGATCACACAATTGCATTGTTTAAGGAGGCCTTCTTGGTGGTGGTAGGTGTGGTTTGAAAGGCAGAATGCTGGAAAGGTTTAAAACCTGTTAAAAGGGTTTTCTTGTGCTTTGAGAAAATGTTATGACCACAGTATTGTGATCATTTTAAGATATTTTACTTGTGTATGGCTTTCATTTTACTTGTATGCAAATTACTGAAAGATTTTTATACATTGAGCAGGAGGGACATATTTTTAATGACTGAATAAATTGCTAATGAAAAGCAATATATAAATGTGGGCTATC